TTGTCTAGATCTTTTTCTTTTTCTTTTCAAAAGGATTTAAAGCAGTTTATTAAAAAATAACAATAAATGGAGGGGATGAACATAACTGAGGTACACTGTATGCATATATAAAAATGTCACAACACAACTCCCTGTGCAATTATTATGTACTAATAAAAATGGGTTTTTTTTTTACTTTTAAGCAAACTTAATGAATTTAAATTTAAATAGACACATATGGCTATATATTATGACATAAGCTTAGAATCTTGGAATAATCTCAGGTACCTTTCCTGGAAAAAAAAAAAAAGGTTGTTAAGATCTAAAGCAATTCATGCAGGAGTATTTATATTTAAATTCTTACATAAAAAGAAAAATTTCAAATTAATCTAAAGTGATTTGTGAAATTACAAAAAATGAGAAAACTAAACCTCAAGCAGAAGGAAGTAATACCAGAGTAGAAACTAATAAGCTAAAAAAATAGATATGTGATTTAATAAAGTGAAAATCTAGTTCTTTGAGAACATCAGTAAAATTGATAAACTTTTAGCCAGAGTGACCAAGAAAAAAGGCAGAACAGAGATTACATGAGTGGCAACAGACAAGACCTCACCACAGACCCCTTAGACATAGGTAAAACCGTAACAAGAACTCTAAACTATTTCCTGCATGACTCAAACTACTAAAAGTCAACAAGTGAGAAATAAATTGTGTAGTCCTGTATCTATTTTTTTATTCATTTATTCATTTGTGCATACATTGGGCCATTTCTTTTTCAATTTATTAATAATGGTTTAGTTCTCAGTGTACAAGTAAGTCTTGCATTTCTTTTGTTAACTGCTAAATATTTTATTTTTTTAAATGAAATTATTTTCCTAATTGGTGAATTATTCATTGATAACATATACAAATACACTGTGTATGATCTTGAGAAAAATTAATTGGTTATGTGTAATCCACTTATACAATTATTGATGACAGTCAGAGTCTATTATCAGAGTCTTTTTCTTTTCTTTTCAAAACCTTCTCATATTTTTAGTATTCCACTTTATCTCCTCTGTTGGCTTTTTAGCTGTATTTATTTTTAGTTGCTGTAAGGATATGCATTCTTTACTTATCAGTCTACCTTAAAATAATAGGACCACTTCATATGTACTGTACCTTATAAAACTATATTTCCACTTGTCTGCCTATTATTTATGCAGTAATTATCAGAAATTTTACTTCCACATGTCCTAAATCTTGCTATTTTTAAATTTGTTTTAAACTTTTTGGTTAAACATTTTCCATAATTAGATTTTAAATAATTTAAGGAATGAGAAAAATAAGTAGACTTGCCACTTCCAGGATTCCTTTCCTTCATGTACATTTCATTAGGTATCATGTCCCTACCACATAAAGAACTGCTTTTAACACTTCTTGTAGTGTAGGTATCCAGGTATCAGATTTTCTCAACTTTCACTTACCCCAAAATACCTTTATTGCACCTTTATTTCTCACTGGGTCTGGAGTTTTAGTTTGGCAGTTTTACATCAGCACTTGAAAACTATTTAAAAACTATCTTGAATTTTTCTGGTCATTTGTTCATTTTTATCACTCATTCAGTGTTAGGTGTCTTTTTTTTTTTTTTCTTCTGACAGCTTTTTAAATTGCCTCCCCTGATTTTTCAGCAATTATATTGTTGGGTGCATAGGTGTGTTTTCCTTTGTGTTTATTCTGTTTGCAGTATGAGTTTCTTGAATTTGTGGGTTATTTTTTAAATTTCTAAATTTCTCATTTTTAGTTCTCAAAATACGTATTTTTCTATTCATCATTCCTCTCCCTCTAAATTCCAACTGTACATTAGACCATTTGATAATTTCCCATGACATTAAGTTTAATTGCTTCTTCATCCTTTTACCTTTTTAGTTTGGATAAATTTTATTAACTGGCCTTCTTCCATTACCTGCAGTATCCTTTATGTTAGTAAGCTCATCCAGTGAATTGCTTATCTCAGAATACACTTTTTGACTGGAAAATGTTCCATTTTTGAATTATTATTCAAATTTTTCACTAATAACCTTTTTGAACACTTCTATTAGTTGTTTTAAAGCAACTGCTAGTTCCAACATTTATATTACTTACATGTATGTTTTGCTTGCTTTTTCTCCTGGTTGTGTGCCACATTTTCTTCTCTGCACACCTAATTTTCTATATGCTGCTGGATATCATGGGTGCTATGTTGTGGGAGTCTGGATTTTGTCTTCTTTTGAAGTGTTACAGTAACCCTATTCTCAAAGCATGGACTTCAGTAGGTCTTGAATGCTTTGATTTCTGCCAGATCTCATGGTCTCTCACCCTGCACTCAGCTTAATACTGAGCAGATTTAAGGAAATTATGCTAATTTCTTGAGCTTCTCTGTGCAGCTTCCTCCTTTCCAGGTCCTTGCTCAACAAATTCCAGCAGGAACCCTCAACTGTAGTATTTTCTACCACCCAGACACACTCCCATTTCCTGTGTTAGTGTGCAAAGTGTCCTTAGGTAGAGAGGGTCAGAATGATTAGAAAGCTATTTGTGTTTTAAAGATCAGTCCTGGACTGCCATCTCTTCTGTGAAAACATTGAGATATAGAGATATATATTGATATATGTATCTATACAGATGTACATATATACATATATACCCACCTGTGTATGTACACATATATGTATATATATAATACACGTGTGTATATTGGGGTTTGAATCCAGAGCTTCCTGGTTGCTATCCATGTGCTCTACCATTTGAGCTACACCTCCGGTCCTTTTTTGCTCTAGTTAATTTGGATATAGGGTCTCACTTTTTGCCTAGGCAGGCCTGGACTGCATGCAATCCTATTTTACCTGGAAAAATTCTCCCAAGTACCTAGGATTTATAGGCATAAGCCACAGATACCTGGGCTACTTTATTTTTTTAGTTTTATAGTTGAGAAAAGCAGAGTCTAATTCCTATTTAATCCATCATACCTAAAACCAGAAAGTCATACTTTTATTTTTAATGTTAAAATTTTAGGTTATTTTTCCTTTTTGTTTTTCGGTCTTGTTTACCTTTTTTGCCTTGCTCCTTCCCCAAAGACAGTAGTTTACTTAAATAACCTAGGTGAGGAAGTGACTCAAGATGCTTAATCCTCCTTTCTACATATTCTTTTCAGCTAGACTTGGGGACTGTAGCCCTTCCCCCCTAGGAATTCATACAGTGGAGTTTTTAAAATGATATATATGATCTGCTGTGATCAGAATGGCCTTGAGTTCGGCAGTGTTTCAGCAGTTAGGACTTAACAGAACTGTTATTTAGTAACAGATTTAGAAATGTTTGCAATTTGTTAATGATGAGTTCACCAGTTTCCCTATTGATTATACAGTATTTTAAAATGTCTTTCAATTTTAAAATGTTAATTAAAACTCGATGCCATGGAAACATGTTACAAGATAAAACTTCTTAGATTTTACAAAAAGTAAATTTGAATGAAGCTTATATACTCAGGCTGACTGAAACACTCAAAGCTGTTACTAGATCTGATTTTTATTATCTCCTTGCTTCTTATTTTTTGGCAGTACAGGGGTTTGAATTCAGGGTTTCACACTTGCTAGACAGGCATTCTACCACTTGAGCCATTCCGCCAGTCCATTTTTTAATGGGTATTTTCAAGACAGGGTCTCTTGAAGTTATTTGGCTTCAAATTGCTACCCTCCTGATCTGTGCCTCCTAAATAGGTAGGATTACAGACCTGAGCACAGCTGCTGGCTTTTTTTTTTGAGACAGAGACTTGCTAGAGTTCAAGCTGTCCTCAAATTCTCAATCTTCCTGCCACTGCTGGAATTATAGATGTTTGCCATACATGACTTCATTTTTAAAAAATCCTATGGAGGGAGTGCTTTATAAACTCTTTCATTATCAAGTGTGGACTGTTTGCCATAAACCAACGACATGAAATGAGATGCTCACTCACATTATGTTATGATTAGTCAAGTATTTCATAATTTTCCTTTCTTTTAATAGCTAGTTGATACTGAAAAGTAAAGATCTAAAGAGCACAGGAGTATACTACATCAGAGAAAAGGCCTGAATGTTCTATATTGCACAGGAGAGCTAGAATTGAGGGAGACTTCAGAAGTTGGAGTTTGCATGAAAGATAGAATTATTCACCAGGTTTATTGAGAGCTTTATGAAGTTTTACTTCCCTGAAGTTTTTGTTTTTAAAACAAATACTCTCATCACAAAAAGATACTAGTTAAGTTAGAGATGTAAGGGAATGTCAACAAGTCTGTCCTTCCTACAAACTATCTCTGCAATACTGTCACTTTCAATTTAGAAGTGACATTCAGAAAAACATCCAGTCCCACTCATTCAGAGTTCAAAAACAGGCAAGCATAGAATCATGTACCATTTCAAAAGTGTGTGAAATTAGTTTGAAAACATTATTACCATAATAGGAAACGTGATTATAGACTTTATAAAACCAAATTAATCTTAAATCAGTTGTGAGAATTACTGAGACTAAAAATTCATCTGAAGCAATTAGATGGTAGAAGCAAATACATTCTAAACAATTATATGTAAGGTGAATTATGACCCTAGTAAACTTAAGCACATAATGTACTAAAATGGACAGAATAATTGACATAGTCTATTATTTTAAGAAAAACAGAAGTTCAATGAGTACATTCCAGATGAAATAACTGTACCCCAAAAGGGAAGAGAAAGGTTGAAAATTTCATTAGTCTTCTGAAATTCTCCTTGCCAAATGAAATTTTCAACCTTTCTCTTCCCTTTTTGTGCTGAACACTAAAAATTCTGTCAATTTCTGTCCACATATGCAGACATTAAGCACAATAACCATAATTCAAGATAGAGCAGATATGGTCAATAAATACTCATGGTATGAGCTATGTCATCTCCAATGAGCAAACTATTAAAGATATCAAAGAAATAATCACCTTGGAAATGGAAAAAATTTTAATCTTATTTCTACATTCACTTTTATAATTCTGACAATACCCAAACTGTATTACCATTTCAGAAGCACTTACCAGCCTGAATACCTAAGTTTCAGTGCTAGAAATTAACTCAATGTTCACACAAGTAAGTTGTTCCATCCACAATTTATTAAATTGCAAATAAGATAAAGTAGATGTTATGGTGGTTAAGTATTAAGTCTCTGAAAAGTATTTTGGCAGATTCTTAGATGTCCAAGTATATACCAATATCATGGGATGTTTAAATTATTAGAAGAATATGAAGTACTGTTAAGGTTTTGACAATAAAAATATTTTTTAAAATACCATATTTGGTAATAAATTAGATTTATTCAACTGATAATTTCAAAATAAATAACACCTGAGTTGAAAATGCCTCCTGTCCCTACCTCACCCACCATACATACCTTATATCCCATTTTCATTCAGACCATTATGTTTTAAACTTTAATGACACATACATCCTCTGGGGATCTTGTAAGAATGTAGTTTCTGATTAAGCAAAGTTTGTTGTGGGACCAAAGAGCCTACATTACTAATAAGCTATAGAAAAAGCTGATGCTACTGGTCCTTGGACCACCCTTTGAGCAATAAGGTAACCCAACAGGAAGTAAGGACAATTTCTGGCCTGATGCCCATACTGGTTTTATAGATTCCAAGCTATAATACTTTGGGATCAAACAATAACAAAACATGATCACACACACAAAAATATCGGTCTTGGAAGAAAAGAATGTCCTCTCATTAAGTGAAAGCTTAAAGTATACCATGTTAGCAGTTTTCTATTTGTCCAACAATAACACCTTTGATATTTGATACATTATAAATCAGGACACAAAGCTGTGGTAATGTTAAAAAAATGAAATTACTATAGCTTGAGGCTCTTCTCCAGTTAATTCAAGTCCAGATAATTCAGGCCAGTACACTGCAAAACCACTATTAAAAAATCTTTAATGGCAAACTATCCATTTAAATTACTTGTAAACTTGCTTTAAGCTATCCCATCTCCTCCTCCTCTCTCAACAAATAAATGCTTTTTCTTCTGTCTTACAGCTAAACAGCGTGTAACACCCAAAGCCCCTCCCTTTAAAAATCGAACAAAGTTATCTCCAACCAAAGGGCCCAATGCAAAAAGGTTGGCTTCTTTGACACATTCGTAAGTATATGCATTGATCTCCACAGGATTACCCTTACATGTGATTGGTTGGCTTGAGTTATGACCTAGGTAACACCCTTGTTCCTTCAGAAAAGACAGATTAGGATGAGAACCTATCAATACCACTGCTGCAGACAGCTTAAATATTTTCTTCAATCCAGAGACACTTTGAAGAATGCACTTCATGTCCGACTTAAAGGAAAGCACATGGTGCTCAGGAAAACTAGTATAGTCAGATAAAAGATTTGAGTCTGCAGAATATGACTGAGTACACATCATATGATAGACTTTATGATATTCAGGATAAAGCTTTTTAGGAAGCTGTTTGAAAATTAAGTTTGGGTCAGTTACTCGTCTGCGAAATACATGCATCACTGGAATATTATTGTTGTAAGCACAAAGTACTGCATCAGCTGCAGTAAGCCCAGAACCTACAATTAACACTGGATCCACTTTGCCACGCAACTTTACTTTGTTTACAGCAGCTCCAAATTCAGGCATTGAATGAAACACAAAAGGAAAATCTTCTCCTTCAATTTCCAGGTGGCCAGGAGAATCTAATGTTCCAGTTGCTAGAGCTACATTCTCAGCAAAGAGGCAAAAGGGAACATGAGAACCATCTGCTATTCGCTGATAACCTCTGATTTCCCAGTTTCTCTTGATCAATTTTGACTTCTCTATCTGTAAATGCTTTGTTGAAATATCTCTGTCTTGATTATTATCATCATCTTGATCTCTATAGAGTTTTGATAGAGAGGTTATGTAAGTATTCTCTCTGAAGTTCTTCTGAAGACCCATGACTTTTACATAATGTTTATAGTAGCGAGCTATTTCCTCTGGCATCACTCGATCTCCTTTTAGGTTCCTAAAAAAGGAAAAGGAAAAATAACCTATGAAGGTAGTACTTTCAGTTCCCATGATTAGTACTTTACACCTAGAAAGTCTTTATGCCTTTTTAGTTCCTCTGGACTGTCTTAGGTAAAAATTATCCTACCACATTAAAAAAAAAGCCTTATTTCTTTTTTTTTTTTTGTTAAAAATGTTAATTAGTTTTGTCTACAGATCAAGTCCCATGAAAGAAGAAACTGTATTTTAATGCATCTGTTTCCCTAGTGTCACTATAACTGCTCCAATCAGCTGCTTGATAATTTCATTAAATAAAAGGATTAAAATGTGAATAATATTAAGACTAGTATATCTCAAATTATAATCTAGCTATCAACTGAGTTATTCAGATTACCATCATTAAGAAATTACAGGTCTATTATAGTAGCTGTGTTACTTAAAAGATAATATGTAAGTATCCTGATATGATTTTCTTAATGACCAAAAGTAATTCAGATCTGTCTTTTGAACAAAATCATCTTAAATCTAAGTAAATAAGTTATAATACTTTGTGTTTTCCTACTCAAGAAATTTAAAAATATAATTTGCTGTGTATGAAAAACAGAGTATTAGTACATACTTGAATTTCAAAGCAATGATTAGTAATGTTCCTAAACTCTATACCCCAATCAGAGGTAGGTAGCAGTAAAAATAATCATTTGACATAATTCATTATATTGCAATTGGAAGTTCATTAAAAATTTTTAAGTTTATTGATTATAACTAAGATTTAGAATGTATTACCTCTCAATAGTTCAGAAAACACATGTAGTACTATTATTATCTCCTTTTACAGAGTAAGAAATTGACAACTACTTTAAGTTATTTGCCCAGGGTCACAACATTAGAAGTCACAAAGTCAGGACTCAAGCCCTGCCAATCTCTAAGATATAAAAGTCTGCTGTCAGTAGTATGAAAGCCAGGAACTAAAGCTAATATTAATCACAGGACTCATTTTCATCTTATTATGCATATTTCAAGATAAAACATGCATAATTTAGAAAGATAAATTCTTCTGTTACAAAAATCATAAAGTGTTCCCTTTTCTTACATATTGTACAAAAGAATGTGCTGAACAATTTTGCATATGTGCTTACAACAATCAAGTACTTGTACAACTTGCCAGATTTTGCAACTTTAAATTTCAAAACCATATTAAGTCCTTTTTAAAACACCTAAGGTGAACTTTTTGGAGATTTAACTCAATTGTCCATCATGATCTGAATCTGCTCTTCTTAAATCTCCTCAAATAAAGGAAGACTTCTTTCATTTTGTTTTACTTTTGCCGTGTTGCAGATCAAACCCACCACCTGCCGCACACTAGGCAAGCACTGCACCAAATGAAGGAAATTTTCTATGGATTAACATGGCTGCTACCTAATAGGAAATGAAATACTCAGATGTTACATCACTATTCTAATATAAATAAAAACAGATAAATTTTGGAAAATTGTACATCAGTAGAGAGAAAGTATACAGTGAATAACAGGACAGAGATAAATCCCTAATTAACAAAGTCAAAGGAAACCACTCTGAAAACAATCTCTGACTTCTAAGCTTAGTTTTATAGCATCTCTAAATGGAAACTAGCTCAAGGAAGCATTTTTATTTGACATGTATATTATATATTTGATCCTACATCAAAAGAATTTTAATACAGTTTGATCTTTACCTTCGTTTGTTAGACACCCAATCTTTAAATTTAAGTCCAGGTAGCTCCATCCAATTTCCGAAGCTGATTGTCAACATAGATCCTTCCATATTCTATTAAGGTAAAAAAATACAGTTAAAAACATAATTAAGCAGAATATGACTTTCACACCCATCCTATTTATAATAAGACTGGATAAAGTGTGCTAAAAGTTGTCCAAAAATGGTTGTGTAAATTTCTTCTGAAACTTTACTCCAATAAACTTTTACACACTTTCATCATATGGTATCATCCATCTCTATGTCTTCATTCATAATGTTATATACTTGAGCTGGCAGTTTTAAATTATCTGCCTGCCAAGTATGAGGCCAAGTTCAACCCTTATACTGCCCCCCCCAAATTAAGTACTTATAAAATGAATTTATAATATTATCCAATGCCAGTGCAAGCTGATGGCTTTGGCCTATGATCAATGTACATTCAGATGTACAGATTAAAGAACAAATCAGTATTTTCACTTTTTCCAAAATTTTATGTATTTTTCCATTTTAATATAATTTGCCTATTTTTAAAAATTGGAAACCTTTACTCCCTCCACCAGTTATAATTCTGAAGTCTAGACTGGTTTGGACACA